CTTCGCTACGATTCGAGTAGATCTAAGTTTTTGATGAAATCAAGATTTTTTTCCATATACTCGAGGTTGAATAAAACCTCAAAATTAGTTCGGAGAATTGAGATGGTGAGAAATAAAAGTACTGTTGATATCGCTATTCATTTAGTTTTTAGGTATGATTCAATTGGATCTAAGTTATTGATGAGCTCAAGATATTTTCAATATACTCAAGGTTGGACAAAAATCAAAATTATTTCGGATAATTAAGTAGTCGAGAAATTGGAGATTTCACATTTTAGATCCATTATTTGGATAGTGGAATTTAAAAATAAAGTTATGTTTATGTTACAAACTATTTTTATGCATGCATTTTCATTTCTGGTTTGATACATTGTTCGTACTGTTATTCATTCAATTTTTAGCTACGATTCAACTGGATCTAAGTTTTTGATAAACTCAAGATTTTTTTCAATATACTTGAGGTTGGAAAAAAACTGCAAACTAATTTGGAGAATTGCGTAGTTGAGAACTCGATACATTGTTGATATTATTATTCATTTAGTTTTTAGGTACGGTTCAATTGGATCTAAGTTTTTGATACACTCGAGAATTGTTTAATATACTCAAAGTTGGACAATAACTCAAACTTCTTTCAGAGAATTTTAGAAGTCAAGAATTTGGAGATTACGCATCTGTGATCCATTATTCGCAGAGTGGCATCTAAACACGAGGTTATGTTGCCTTTTCAATCTATTCTTATTCATGTGTTTTCATTTCTCCTTTAATATACCTATGGTATTGTTCCTCATTCAATTTTTAGCTACTATTGGACTGGATTTATGTTTTTGGTATACTCAACATATTTTTTTTTTTTATATACTTGAGGTCGGACAAAAACTAAAAATTAATTTGGAGAATTGACTAGTCTAGATTCGATTCATTATTAATATTGCCGTTCATTTACTTTTTAGGTACGATTCAACCGTATCTCACTTTTCGGTACACTCGAGATTTTTTCAATATAGTTGAGGTTGGAAAAAACTCAAAACTAATTCTGGAGAATTAAGTAGTCGAGAATCTCAAGATTTTATATTTTAGATCATTTGAGATACATGATTTGAAGAGTGGCTTGTAAAATCAATGTTATGTTTCTTTTTCAATCTATTCTTATACATGCATTTTCCTTTTTGCTTTATACATTGTTGGTATTGTTATTCATTCAATTCTTCACTATGATTCAACTAGATCTAAGTTTTTGATGTAATCAAGATTTTTTCCGATATACTCGAGGTTGGGTAAAACCTCAAAATTAATTTGGAGAATTAAGATGGCGAGAATTAAAAGAATTTTTTATGTTGCTACTCATTTAGTTTTTAAGTATGATTCAGTTGGATCTAAGTTTTTGATGAGGTCAAGATATTTTCAATATACTCAAGGTTCGACAAAAATCAAAATTATTTCAGATAATTAAGTAGTCGAAAAATTGGAGATTTCACATTTTAGATCCATTATTTGGAGAGTTTAATTTAAAAATAAAGTTATGTTTCTGTTACAATCTATTCTTATACACAGATTTTCGTTTATGGTTTGATACATTGTTGGTATTTTTATTCATTCAATTTTTAGCTACGATTCAACCAGATCTAAGTTTTTGATATGTTCAAGATTTTTTTCGATATACTTGAGGTTGGATAAAAACTCCAAACTAATTTGAATAATTGCGTAATGGAGAACTCATTACATTGTTGATATTACTATTCATTTTGTTTTTAGGTACGATTCAATCGGATAGATGTTTTTTATACACTCGAGATTTTTTTTGATATACTCCAGAGTTTTTATGATATACTTGTGGTTAGACAAAAACTCCCAACTAATTTGGAGAATAGCGTATTTGGGAACTCGATAGATTGTTGAAATTACTATTCATTTAGCTTTTAGGTACGATTCAACTGGATTTAACTTTTTGACACACTCGAAAATTGTTCAATATACTCATAGTTGGACAATAACTCAAAATTCCGAGAAGTCGAGAATTTTGAGATTACGCATCTGTGATCCATTATTCGCACAGTGATATCTAAACACAAGGTTATGTTGTTTTTTCAATCTATTCTTATTCATGTGTTTCCATTTCTCCTTTGATAAACTAATGGTATTGTTATTCATTCAACTTTTAGCTACTATTGCACCGGATTTATGTTTTTGATATACTCAAGTTTTTTTTTATATACTTGAGGTCGGACAAAAACTAAAAATTAATTTGGAGAATTGACTAGTGCAGATTCGATTCATTATTGATATTGCCATTCATTTACTTTTTAGGTACGATTCAACCGCATCTCACTTTTCGATACCCTCAAGATTTTTTCAATATACTTGAGATTGGAAAAAATTCAAAACTAATTCTTGAAAATGAAGTAGTCGAGAATTTCAAGATTTTATGTTTTAGATCGTTTTAGATTCAATATTTGCGGAGTGGCTTCTAAACACAATGTTATGTTTCTTTTTCAATATATTCTTATACATGCATTATCCGTTTTGCTTTGAACATTATTGGTATTGTTCTTCATTCAATTCTACATTTACAATTTGACTAGATCTAATTTTTTTGATGTAATCAAGCTTTTTTTCCATATACTCAAGGTTGGATAAAACATTAAGATTAATTCGGAGAATTGAGATGGCGAGAATTCAATTCAATGTTGATATTGCTATTCATTTAGTTTTTAGGTATGATTCAGTTGGATCTAAGTTTTTTATGAGGTCAAGATATTCTCAATATACTCAAGGTTAGAGAAAAATCAAAATTATTTTGGGTAATTACGTAGTCGAGATATTTGAAATTTTACATTTTAGATCCATTATTTGGAGAGTGGAATTTAAAAATAAAGTTATGTTTCTGTTACAATCAATTCTTATACACGGATTTTCGTTTCTGGTTTGATACATTGTTTGTATTGTTATTCATTCAATTTTTAGCTACGATTCAACCGGATCTAAGTTTTTGATATACTCAAGATTTTTTTCGATATACTTGACATTGGACAAAAACTCCAAACTAATTTGGAGAATTGCGTAATGGAGAACTCGATACATTGTTGATATTACTACTCATTTAGTTTTTAGGTACGATTCAACTGGATTTAAGTTTTTGATACACTCGAGAATTTTTCAATATACTCAAAGTTGGACAATAACTCAAAATCATTTCGGAGAATTTTAGAAGTCGAGAATTTGGAGATTACGCATCTGTGATCCATTATTCGCAGAGTGGCATCTAAACACAAGGTTATGTGGTTTTTTCAATCTATTCTTATTCATGCGTTTTCATTTCTCATTTGATAAATTAATGGTAATGTTATTCATTCAACTTATTGCTAGTATTCGACCGTATTTATGTTTTTGATATACTCAATATTTTTTTTTTATATACATGAGGTCAGACAAAAACTAAAAAATAATTTGGAGAATTGACTAGTCTAGATTCGATTCATTGTTGATATTGCCCTTCATTTACTTTTTAAGTACGATATAACTGCATCTCACTTATCGATAGACTCGAGATTTTTTCAATATACTTGAGGTTGGACAAAACTAAAAAGTAATTCCTGAAAACTAATTAGTCGAGAATTTCAAGATTTTATGTTTTAGATCGTTTTAGATCCAAGATTTGAAGAGTGGCTTCTAAACATAGTGTTATGTTTCTTTTCCTATATATTCTTATACATGCATTTTGCTTTTTGCTTTGCATATTATTGGTATTCTTATTCATTCAATTCTACGCTTACGATTAGACTAGATCTAGTTTTTTGATGTATCAAGCTTTTTTCGATATACTCGAGGTTAGATAAAACCTTAAGATTAATTCGGAGAATTGAGATGGCGAGAATTCAATTCGTTGTTGATATTCCTATTCACTTAGTTTTTAGGTATGATTCAGTCGGATCTATGTTTTTTATGAGGTCAAGATATTTTCAATATCACTACAAAAAAATAATATATTTGTAACAGAATTCCGTCCCTAAAGTTCACGTAGCTAACGTAATTCCATTCCTAATTCTGTCTCTAATGTCATTAGTAACGGAAAAAGTAGATTTAGAGACAAAAACGTTTTGTTACAAAAATGATTTTTTCTTGTAGTGTATACTCAAGGTTGGAGAAAAATCAAAATTATTTTGGGTAATTAAGTAGTCGAAAAATTGGCGATTTCACATTTTAGATCCGTTATTTGGAAAGTGGAATTTAAAAATAAAGTTATGTTTATGTTACAATCTATTCTTATACACGGATTTTCATTTCTGGTTTGATAAATTGTTGGTATTGTTATTCATTCAATTTTTAGCTACGATTCAACCGGATCTAAGTTTTTGATGTACTCAAGCATTTATTCGATATACTTGAAGTTGGACAAAAACTCCAAATTGATTTGGAGAATTTCGTAATAAAAAATTCAATAAACTGTTGATATTAATGTTCATTTAGTTTTTAGGTACGGTTATATAGGGTCTAAATTTTTTATACACTCGAGAATTGTTCAATATACTCAAAGTTGAACAAAACTCAAAATTATTTCGGAGAATTAAGCAGTTGAGAATTTGGCGATTATGGGTTTTTGAGCCATTATAGTCAGGGTGCCATCTAAACACAAGGTTATGTTGCTTTTTCAATCTATTCTTATTTATGCGCTTTCATTTCTCATTTGATATACTAATGGTATTGTTATTCATTCAACTTTTAGGTACTATTCGACCGGATTTATATTTTTGATATACTCAAGACTTTTTTTTTATATACTTGAGGTCGGACAAAAGATAAAAATTAATTTGAAGTTGACTAGTCTAGATACGATTCATTATTAATATTTCCGTTCATTTACTTTTTAAGTACGACATAACTGCATCTCACTTTTCGATACACTCGAGATTTTTTCAATGTACTTGAGGTTGGACAAAACTAAAAACTAATTCTGTAAAATTAAGTAGTTGAGAATTTAAAGATTTTATGTTTTAGATCATCTTAGATCCATCATTCGTAGAATGGCATTTAAACACAAGTCTATATTTCTTTTTCAATCTATTCTTATGCTACATTTTCTTTTCTGCTTTGTACGTTGTTGGTATTGTTATTCATTTAATTCTTCACTACGATTTGACTAGATCTAAGTTTTTGATGTAATCAACAATTTTTTCGATATAGTCGAGGTTGGATGAATCCTCAAAATTAATTCGGAGAATTGAGATGGCGAGAATTAAAAGCATTGTTGATATTACAATTCATTCAGTTTTTAGGTATGATTTAGTTGGATCTAAGTTTTTGATGAGGTCAAGATATTTTCAATATACTAAAGGTTGGACAAAAATCAAAATTATTTCGGATAATTAAGTAGTCGAGAAATTGGAGATTCCACATTTTGGATCCATTATTTGGAGAGTGGAATTTAAAAATATAGTTATGCTTCTGATACAATCTATTCTTATGCATACATTTTCCTTTCTGGTTTTATACATTGCTGGTATTGTTATTCTTTCAATTTTTAGCTACAATTCAACCGGGTCTATGATTTTGATATACTCGAGATTTTTTTTGATATACTTGACTGTTTTTTCGATATACTTGACATTGGAAAAAAACTCTAAACTAATTTGGAAAATTGTGTAATTGAGAACTCGTTACAATTTTGATATTACTACTCATTTTAGTTTTTAGGTATGATTCAACTGGATTTAAGTTTTTGATACACTCGAGAATTGTTCAATATACTCATAGTTGGAAGTCGAGAATTTGGAGATTACCCATCTGTAATCCATTATTCGCAGAGTGGCATCTAAACACAAGGTTATGTGGTTTTTTCAATCTATTCTTATTCATGCGTTTTCATTTCTCATTAGGTAAATTAATGGTAATGTTATTCATTCAACTTTTAGCTAGTATTCGACCGTATTTATGTTTTGATATACTCAAGATTTTTTATTTTTTTTGTATATACTTGAGGTCGGACAAACACAAAAAATTAATTTGGAGAATTGACGATTATAGATTCGATTCATTATTGATATTGCCATTCATTTACATTTTAGGTACGATTCAACCACATCTCACTTCTCGATACCCTTGAGATTTTTTCAATATACTTGAGGTTGGAAAAAACTCAAAACTAATTCCTGATAATTAAGTAGTCAAGAATTTCAAGATTTTCTGTTTAGATCGTTTTAGATCCAAGATTTGCAGAGTGCCTTCTAAACACATCGTTATGTTTCTTTTTCAATATAATCTTATACATGCATTTTCCTTTTTGCTTTGCACATTATTGGTATTGTTATTCGTTCAATTCTTCACTTAAGATTCGACTAGATCTAATTTTTTGATGTAATCAAGCTTTTATTCCATCTACTCAAGGTTGAATAAAACCTTAAGATTAATTCGAAGAATTGAGATTGCGAGAATTCATATCATTGTTCATATAGCTATTCATTTAGTTTTTATGTATGATTCAGTTGGATCTAAGTTTCTATGAGGTCAAGATATTTTCAATATACTCAAGGTTGGACAAAAATCAAAATTATTTTGGGTAAGTAAGTAGTCGAGAAATTCGAGATTTCACATTTTAGATCCATTATTCGGAGAGTGGAATTTAAAAATAAACTACAATCTATTCTTATATACGGATTTTTGTTTCTGGTTTGATACATTGTTTATATTGTTATTCATTCAATTTTTAGCTACAATTCAACAGGATCTAAGTTTTTGATATACTCAAGATTTTTTTCGATATACTTGAAGTTGGACAAAAACTCCAAATTGATTTGGAGAATTGTGTAATCGAAAATTCGATACATTGCTCATATTACATTTTATTTATCTTTTAGGTACGGTTGAATTGGATCTAAATTTTTTATACACTTGAGAATTGTTCAATATACTTAAAGTTGAACAAAACTCAACATTATTTTAGAGAATTAAGTTGTTGAGAATTTAGAGATTATGTATTTTTAATCCATTATACTTAGAGTGGCATCTAAACAAAAGGTTATGTTGCTTTTTCAATCTATGCTTAGTCATGCGTTTTCATTTCTCATTTGATATACTAATCGTATTGTTATTCATTGTACTTTTAGCTACTATTCGACCAGATTTATGTTTTTGATATACTCAAGACTTTATTTTTTTTATATACTTTAGGTTGGACAAAAAATAAAAATTAATTTGGAAAATTGACTAGTCTAGATTCGATTCATTATTGATATTGCCATTCATTTACTTTTTAAGTATGGCATAACTGCATCTTAGATTTCGATACACTTGAGATTTTTTCAATGTACTTGACGTTGGACAAAACTAAAACCTAATTTTGTAAAATTAAGTAGTTGAGAATTTAAAGATTTTATGTTTTAGATCTTCTTAGATCCATCATTCGCAGAGCAGCATCTAAACACAAGTCTACGTTTCTTTTTCAATCTATTCTTATACATGCATTTTCCTTTTTGCTTTGTACATTGTTGGTATTGTTATTCATTCTATTCTCCGCTACAATTCGACTAGAACTAAGTTTTTTATGTAATCAATATTTTTTTCCATATACTCGAGGTTGGATAAAACCTCAAAATTAAGTCAGAGAACTGAGATGGCGTGAATTCGAAGCATTGTTAATATAGTTATTGATTTAGTTTTAAGGCACGGTTCAGTTCGATCTAAGTTTCTGATGAGGTCAAGATATTTTCAATATACTCAAGGTTAGACAAAAATCAAAATTAATTTCGGATAATTAAGTAGTCGAGAGATTGGAGATTTCACATTTTAGATCAATTATTTGGAGAGTTGAATTTAAAGAAAAAAAAAAGTTATGTTTCTTTTACAATTTATTCTTATACATGCATTTTCGTTTCTGCTTTGATAAATTGTTCGTATTGTTATTCATTCAATTTCTAGCTTTGATTCAACCGGATCTAAGCTTTTGATATACTCAAGATTTTTTTTTCGATATACTTGAGGTTGGACAAAAACTCCAAATTAATTTGGAGAATTACGTAATTTAGAACTAGATACATTGTTGACATTACTATTCATTTGGTTTTCAGTTACAATTCAACTGGATTTAAATTTTCGATACACTTGAGAATTTTTCAATATACTCAAAGTTAGACAAAACTCAAAATTATTTCGGAGAATTAAGTAGTTGAGAATTTGGAGGTTACACATTTGTGATCCATTATTCATGGAGTGACATCTTAACACAATGTTATGTTGCTTTTTGAATCTATTCTCATTCATGTGTTTTCATTTCTCCTTTGATATTCTTATGGTATTTTTATTCATTCAAGTTTTAGCTACTGTTCGACCGGATCTATGTTTTTTATATACTCAAGATATTTTTTACATACTCAAGGTCGAACATAAACTAAAAATTATTTCAGAGAATTGACTAGTCTAGATTCGATTCATTGTTGATATTGTCATTCATTTACTTTTTAGGTACGACTCAACTGCATCTCACTTTTCGATATATTTGAGGTTGGAAAAAACTGAAAACTATTTCTAGAGAATTAAGTAGTCGAGAATTTCAATGTATTTTTATATGCATTCTTGTTACTCTTTTGATTGATTGTTGATATTGTTATTCATTAAGTTTTAGGCTATGATTCAATTGGATCTTAGGTTTTAAAATACTCAAGGTCGGACTATAATTCAAATTTATTTTCTCTCTTTCTTGGGCAAATGATTGTCATATGTTTCTTAAATCCTTAATTAAGTAGTCGATAATTCAATGATTTCATATTTATATATATTATTTGGAGCGTTGAATAAAAACTCAAGATGATGTTTCATTTTCAATATATATTTTTTTATATGTTTTCCTTTTCTCTTTTGATGTTGTTATGCATTAACTGTTATTTGATTAGATCTAGCCTTTATATATATATATATATATATACATATCTATATACATTAAAGTTTATTTCAATACACCCCAAGTTTTACTAAAACTTAAAATAATTTTCCAAAATTAAAAACCAAAATTGGTGAAGATGGAAAAACCTTTATAATAAACTAGATCATAGAAATAAAGTAGAAGTTACATTAAACATAATATTTTGGGAGGAAAATAATTAACTACATTAAACATAAAGCCAATGCCTATTTATAGGCATAGTCTAAAATGGATAAAAATCAATAATAAGATAAAAAAAATAAATATTCCAAGCCGTAAATGTCAACTCGAGTTTGTGTAAGAGAAAACAAAAATGAGTCAAGATAATTTGTGTGTCACCCCGGCCCGCAAGCCCCGCTTGCCTGGATCATAGACTGACCCACAAGTCAGAGATTTTTCAGGAGGCCACCCATCCTTAAATTACTCTAAGATAAGCACGCTTAACTCTAGAGTTCTTTCAGTAAGGCGTTCGAAAAGAAATATGCACATTGTTGACATGAGTAGTATATTCAACCAATTTATTTACTATTCAATCTTGGATGGCCTGGCACCGGCTCATCCACGTGGGTTGGGCTAGCACCGGCCCAACATCGGGGGTATTACATCCACCCGCACTTAAGAATGAAACGTCCATGTTGCACCCCAATGATCTATCAACTGCTAGGCCTCTATGGGGATACTATGGTCATGTATCTTGACTGCGATGATGTCAGTATTCCTATGGAGATTATTTCGCCGACGGATAAGATCCTTCAGCACTATAGGGTCTCGATTGCATCACGATGTCATTGTTGTAATATAGAGGTGGAGACTATTCTACATCTCTTTATTGGTTCGGCGGTTGCTTGGCGAGTGTTGGAGCATTTTATGGCGCTTTTCAGGCTATCTTTGCCAGAAACACATACACTGCATCTATTTGTGTCTCATGGAGGCTTTCTTCGGTATATTCTCAAAGTATTAGAGCTTATGTTCAGTTGATGATACTATAGTTCATTTGGATTGCTCGGAATGATGCGTAGCACAGCGGGCTTCGCGCGTCTTCTTGCAAATTAATTCACACTTGCAGACTCTTTGGCGTGCTATGATTCTTCTACGTCGACATTGGGAGTGCGATTTTCATATAGCTAATGGGCTTGGATTTTGATATCCCACTCTGATTCCTCAGCCTCCAATTATAGTGCGTTGGGAGGCACCGTCTCCGGGATGGTTCAAGCTTAACACAGATGGTGCTTCGCTTGGCAATCCGGAGTGGTAGGTATTATCCGAGATTCAGAAGGAGCAGTACTCATAGTGTTTCAGACCCTGATTCTGTAGGTGACGAACACTTTGGCAGAGCTTACGGAGATTCAGACTGGAGTTTGGATAGCGATTGATCAAGGACTGATGCCGCTATGGATTGAGACAGATTCGACAACATGCATCTCTTTGATCTCCTCCGAGACAAGTGACTGGACTCTCCAGCGATGCCTTATGTGTATTTGATTGTGGCTTAGGGATGCAACTTTGCAGATATCTTATATATATATGGAGGGGAACTCTGTCGCAGATGCCTTAGCGACTTTAGCTGTTTCTCTTCCAATTTGACAGACACTTCTCCCGAAAGATATCCCTTCATCGACTAGAGGCCTCTTTCGAGCGGATGCAGATGGTCTCCCAACTTCTCATTTCAGGTAGCAGGCTTCACCTATTTACTTGTCTTTGGGACACTTGTGCTTAGAATTGATAGGCTTGTTGGTGTTGATGCCTTAGGCATACCTAGGCTTGTCTATCTGTTTTCCTGGCTTGGACTATATAGCTTGTATCAGCAGAACTACGTATGACTTGATCCCATTCAGGTACGTAGGCAGCCCAATTTGGGCACAACCTTTGCTAGAAAAAGAATAAAATAAATTGCTAGGCTTCTCAACAG